TCCACTAACTGTCAGAGAGAATACTCTAAGGCTGTTTTCTTTTCATCCCCTAACAGATTGAAGAGTAAGTCCTGGTCCCAGACTTTTCTTTGCTGACTTGGGCCAGGGGTAGTAATGCTTTTTCTAGAAGCTACTAGGTCTGATCCATCTGTTGCTTTGTGGGGAGAACCCCTTCCCCAAGGCTTTTCTTGCAGTAGTTTTGCTGGAATGTCCTACTTGCCTGTGAGCCTGGAACTTTAGAAGTAATTTTAATTCTGTTATTTAATTTACGAAAGTTTGGTGTCCAGTGTGGCTGTATTTGTACATAAGAGACTATCTGTAGAAAAAGAATAAAAAACGTGTACACAGCAGGTTGAATAAATAAGTACTGTGTCTTCTGAAAACCTTGGGCTTAAATGTCTAAGGCAGTCCTGTTTAGATCAGTGCTCAGCGTGGACTTGCTAGAGCAGTAGTATCTGTTGTTTTATCTCTCCAGTTGGGGAAGCTTTCTCTTAATATATGGAGACTCTAGAATGGGTAAGAATATGTGTAAAAAAAAAAAAAAAAAAAAGAATATGTGTAGTAATTAGAATTGTAAGACATGGCCTAAGCAAGTATGGATACTTTTGACTTGCTTTTGGATTTAGTTGTTAAAAAAAAGTGGAGTGTAGAAATATGAAACAGAGGAGAGAAAACCACGTAGGTACAGCAGAGCAGCAGTATTCAGCAATACAGTGAGCATATAAGGAGGGTTTGTTAGGATTACACGCAGAGAGAGGAGAGTAGCACAACCAACACAACTTCAAAGCAATGGTGGGTTCATGTCCGGGGACAGTGCACAAGCAGACCAAGGGCATAGGAAGCTTAGGGTACCCATCACATTCAAGGCACACTACTGGATAACCCTTGGTTCTCTTTTGTGACTTTTTTTTATATAGCAGCAAAACTTAGAAAGAATCTCTCCAGAGGGTTAAATATAGTACCATTAAGTACCTAATGATGCTAATCAACTGTGTTGTTCAGGGTTCTTCACTGCAAGCTACCAAACAATGGGAAAGGCCCTCAAAGCCTCTCTGGTGCTTTCAGAACTGACTGCAGTTGGAGGAACAGGGGAAACACTGCAGAAAAGGTGGGGTTGGCACTATCTGCTGCCCCACCCTGAAGAAATGCTGACTTTTCCTCAAATCCTTGTGTGACTACAGCTTCAGGGCCCCAGGTGTCCAAGCCTAGGTCACATGCTTGCCCCCAGCTGCACCATGACCAGGAGAGAAGGATCTGGATCTTCTAGTGCAAAGCAGTCACTGCCTCCCATGGGGGAAAGGAGGCTGCAGGGTGCTGGTTGGGAAGAAGGTTTGGTTGCTAGACAGCAAAAAAAAAAAATAAGGCATGTAAACTGTATCTCTCTGAAGCTCAGTGTCTTTACACATATTAACCATCTTTCTCAGGCTCAGCCAGCATGCGTGGAGAATATTAATTTCATTTTCCTTTAATGATTTGTTCATTGTTTTTAAAAACAAAGACAAAATAACTTGGGACTATCTTTTTAAATTCAGTCTTTATCAAAGTTGTATGTGTACATCATTTAAAGTCATAGTTTTACCCAGTTTCTAATGAAGAACAGCATTCCATGTGCTCCCATTCCTATTTTCTACTCCCCAGAGAAAACTATTTTCAGTTCTTTCTAGCTGATTTATTTGGAATTAATCTGGATATTTCTAAATGGCACACTGTGGTTATGTCTTAATGTTTCCGTTTTGGGCATTATTTATCAACTTCCCCCAATGGAAATGAGTTTTGTTCTTTCTCAACACTTTATGCTTAATCACACATACACTCTCTTCTCCTTCCCCCATCCTCCCAGGATAATTGTATTGGATCCATAGCCTGTGTTTTTATTATCATTACATCAACACTGTTTGCAATGAAGCCATGTAGTATAATGTGACTACTGCTTTCTCCCAGTACCACCTTTGATTTTTTCCCTGATGTTAATAATTGTCTTGGTTTTTTAATTCATTTGCTTCAATTTTCTATACTTCTCACTGATGTGACCCCCAAATCTCCCCTAACTGAATAAATCCTCTTTCCATATAAACACATTAGATCTTCTATGAATTTCATCTTTTTTTTTAAATTTCATCTTTTAATTTTTTGGGTTTTTTTAGCTGCACTGGGTCTTCATTGCTGTGTGCGGGCTTTCTCTAGTTGTGGCGAGTGGGGGCTACTCTTCATTGCAGTGCGTGGGCTTCTCATTGCAGTGGCTTCTCTTGTGGAGCACGGGCTCTAGGTGTGCAGGCTTCAGTAGTTGCAGCAACGCAGGCTCAGTAGTTGTGGCTTGCAGGCTCTAGAGTGCAGGCTCAGTAGTTGTGGCTTGCAGGCTCTAGAGTGCAGGCTCAGTAGTTGTGGCGCACGGGCTTAGTTGCTTTGTGGCGCACCGGCTTAGTTGCTTCGTGGCATGTGTATCTTCCCGGACCAGGGATCAAACCCATGTCCCCTGCATTGGCAGGTGGATTCTTAACCACTCTGCCACCCAGGAAGTCCAAATTTCATCTTCTTAAAAAGAGATCTCTTCCTAAGTGTTCTGACTTGGTCCTTTCTGGACCCTGGACCAGTCAGTGACCCTCCAGGCCTGCTAAGGAGCTATTGTCTTGGGGTCTCCTTCAACATCACTCTAAGGACCCCTTTACTTGTCTCTTGTTTTAGATCCCTTGCTTCCTCGATTCAGTGTCATCCTCTTCCTTGGTCTTCCCTGTCATTCTGAAGGAGCATGTTACCATTCGTTTCTTTTTTCTTTTTTTTTTAAATTATTTATTTATTTATTTTGCTGCATTGGGTCTTCGTTGCTGCTTGCGGTCTTTCTCTAGTTGCAGAGAGCAGGGGCTACTCTTCGTTGTGGTGCGCAGGCTTGTCATTGCGGTGGCTTCTCTTGTTGCGGAGCACAGGCTCTAGTTGTGTGGGCTCTAGTAGTTGTGGCCCACGGGCTTAGTTGCTCTGCAGCATTTGGGCTCTTCCTGGACCAGGGATCGAACCTGTGTCCCCTGCATTGGCAGGCGGATTCTTAACCACTGTACCACCAGGGAAGCCCACCATTCGTTTCTTGAGAAAGTAAAGGTTTTCTTAGTTTTAGGAATCATTTCCTTGAGAATTTTAAAGGCACTGCTCCATTTTTTTCTGTCCTCCAGAGTCCCTTTTGAAAAGTCTCATTCATTCTGATTTTGACCCTTTGCGTAACAACTTATTTTCCCTCTGGAAGCTTCTCTTTAACCTTGATGTTCTGCAAGTACACAATGATGTGACTTGGGCCCTTGCTGGACCTTTTCTTGAATTCATTTGTTTGATGACTTCCTCTCCTTGGGGTTTTCTGTTCTTTCTCAAATTCCTGCTAGTTAGATGTTGAACCTCTTGTACTGATGTCCAGTTTTTGCATCTTTTCTCTCCTGTTTTCTATCCTTGTAGTCTTTTTCTTTTTCTTTCTGAAATAATCTCTCAACTTTGTCTTCCAACCCTTGCGTGGAGTTGTTTGGTTCTGCTATCAAAATGTATATTTTCCTAGAGTTTTTTTTGTCCTCTGAACATACCTTTTTTATTTAATTGGTATTGTTGATGCATTTATTGTATGATGAGCAATACAGAAACAAGAAAACATAAATATGTAAGTTAGAAGGCATTTTCTGACTGAAAGAGATTATCAGTTGACCAGTCTCAAAAGTTGTAACCTTGAGCCAAAGAAAAATCACCTAAAATACACAAAATTCAATGGTATACAATTTTTAGTACAGTATTTATAAGGATTATGTTTTTTTTAAGTTTTTTGTTTGTTTGTTTGTTTGTTTTTTTGGCTGCTTCGGGTCTTAGTTGCAGCACACGGGATCTTCATTGAGGCATGTGGGATATTTTGTTGCAGTGCATGGGCTTCTCTCTAGTTGTGGTGCATGGGCTCCAGGGTGCGTGGGCTCTGTAGTTGTGGCGCGTGGGTTCCAGGGCACGTGGGCTCTGTAGTTTGTGGCACTCGGGCTCTCCAGTTGAGGTGCATGAGCTCAGTAGTTGTGGTGCACTGGCTTAGTTGCCCCGCAGAATGTGGGATGTTAGTTCCCTGACCAGGGATCGAACCCATGTCCCCTGCATTGTAAGGCGGATTCTTTACCACTGGACTGGCAGGGAAGTCCCTGTAAGGATTATGTTTTGCTGGTTGTTTTTGTGTTTGTTTTTAATGCTCAGTTTTAAAAGTTTGTGTCTTCCCCTGTAGTCTTTTTTTTCCTCTAAGTTGCTTTTCTTCCTCTTTGTTTTGGTCTGTCTTTCATAGTAAATGCTTTCTTGAGTTTCTAGTGATCCTTGGTTATCTTCTCATATTTAAATGAGAAGCTCTTAAGATCAGGCCACTAAAAAGCTACCTGAGAGGTCTGGACTTGTGAGTAAAGCTTATGGACTGTGATCTTCACTGTAGGGCAATCTGCCTGAGTCATTTACTGGAATTTCTCTCATATCTGTTTCTTTAGGTTTTTTATCTTGGCTGGTCATATTCTGTTGGAAAATTTTAAATTTTGCACTGTTCATTTTCTACCTCTTTCTTGCAATTTCTAGATGTGTACAGTCTGAGTTCTCATGTTGTAGACAAAAAATATCTCCCCTGGGTCTCTGCTTTTTCCTTTAAATGCCTTTTGTACTCTCCTAAACATTCTTTTTTTTTTTTTTTTTAATAAATTAATTTATTTGGCTGTGCCAGGTCTTAGCTGCGTCATGCAGGATCTTCATTGCCGCATGCGGGATCTTTAGTTGCGGCATGTAGGATCTAGTTCCCTGACCAGGGATCAAACCCGGGCCCCCTGCATTGGGAACATGAAGTCTTAACCACTGAACCACCAGGGAAGTCCCTCTCCTACACATTCTTATTTGCTTTCTTGGCACTTAGCAGTTAGGCCCACTTGCTAAAAAATAATAGTTGATAGGAGCAAATCTGAAACACCTAGAGTACAAAGTAGGAGTCACTTCAGTGCCTTGTTTTTCCTTAATATATTGATCAGAAATTGGATGAACCTTCGGGATGCTGAGACAGGGAAGATACTCTGGCAAGGAACAGAAGACCTGTCAGTCCCTGGAGTGGAGCATGAAGGTACTTTCCACCCTTTGTCTGCACAGGGCTGATGACACAGAGCAGGCCTAGGCATCAGGGAACTGAGTTAATGGAGACCCACCAGGGGACGGGCCTCTGCAGGCATAGCACGTCAGTCCACGTGGTGCTGAGATGTCTAGTTTCTTTCTTATGTTTCTTTCTCCTACTTCCCAAAACCCACCTCGTGCTGAAATTTTAGCATTAGAACATACCCAAAGATACAAAGATCTCAACTTTTTTCTGAAAGAAACTTTGTGTTTTTATCTCCCTGAAATAAAAGAAAAACCAAGGGAACAGAATAGAAAGAAGGTTCCCATTCAGCCCCTTTCCTGATAAGAGGAGCTGGGTAAGGCCTTTAGATGCACTAAATCTATTGTTCCTTGAAGATCTTTCAGTCAAATGCACTGGACCAGTTTGGGACCTCTGCCTTTAATTAAAGTGTAATTCTGTTACCAAGGCATTTTATGAAATTTAACATAGATAATATATGCTCTAAATCATCTCTAAGAAGCTCCCAGAAATGCTTTCAATATTTCTTTTTCTTTACTAGCCCGTGTTCCCAAGAAAATCCTCAAGTGCAAGGCAGTGTCTCGAGAATTGAACTTCTCTTCAGCAGAGCAAATGGAAAAATTCCGCCTGGAACAAAAAGTTTACTTCAAAGGGCAATGTCTAGAAGGTATTCTGCTGCCAACATGCCTGAAATCTGGGCTTAGGGACAAAATCTGGACAGGGACAGAAGTCAAGACCCAGTGAACTAAAGCACTGCTTTGATAACATTTATTTTGCAACTCAGTTTGTGATAGGGTTCCTACACCCTGGCAGACTGGGGAGCCCTGGCAAAAAGAAGCAAAAACAAAGCTGGCAAGTACAAGGGGCTCTGAGCCCAACAAAAGGGTTACTGACCCTGGAGGGCCTGAGGTTGGTGCCTGCTTTGTCACTGGCGTGGTATTATAACATAGTCACAAGGAAGCTGCTGGTTAGGGCCTGGTACAGTACTCTCCATACAGTCTTGTACAGATTTGACTGGCAAGGCCGCTCTGCATTGAGTTTTTACCATGAAGCCTAAGAGTGTACATACGTGTCTTAGAGGTGAAATTCCAAGTGAAAAGGCCTGTTCTGTACTTCCATTTATATAATTTACATCCAGCCTACTGCTAAGAAAATATTGCTGGCCCTAGTGCTTTAGATCCCAGAGCATAGGGAGTAGGTCTCTAGTGTGGTTCAGGGGACACAGCCTGAAGGGGGCTTCCGTGTCTTTTCTTGTGCCTCTGGCCTGGGAAGTTTCTGATGGCTTCAGTGGTGCTTCCTGGGGTAGGAAGAGGCTTGCCCTAAAGGATGGGGACATGGAGCCCTGAGACTCTGCCCAGGGCGCCAGCTCACCTGCTTTTCCTTCTTCCTTCAGAATGGTTCTTCGAGTTTGGCTTTGTGATCCCTAACTCCACAAACACCTGGCAGTCCCTGATAGAGGCAGCGCCCGAGTCCCAGATGATGCCAGCCAGCGTGCTAACGTGAGTGAGCGGGCCGCAGGAACTGTGGAGGTGTCTAGAAGCAGGAATTCCAGGCACGTGGGACTCGTGGTCCCGTTCAACAGGCAGGCAGTCTAGGTTGAGAACAAGGGTAAAAGAGTATCCAGTGGTATCCGAAGTTACAGCTTACTGACTTTTGTCATGTGAAAAAGACAGTGTGATAGAATGGAAAGAATTAAAAACTTCAGATTAAACCTTTAGACTAAATTCCTGATTAACCATGACTAGCTGTGTAATCTTGGACAATGTACTTTACCTCTCTGGGCCTTATTCTCCTCCTCTCTAAATGTAGAATTAATAATTATCTCTCACAGAGGTATAGTGAGGATAAAATGAGATGATCTGGAAGGAAACTGGCATGTAATATATATTAAGTCTATGCTAATTGGCTCCCTTTCCTTACTGTCAAACTTCTGGTACTCTGTACTTTGTTTGAATGGCCTTCAGTGGAATCTGGCAAAGTCCTAATTCTGTTTTAGAGGATAATGTTTGGTTATAGTTTTTCAGAGACTAGCTTACAATTTTAATAGATATGCTTCCAGCTCAAAGAATAATTAGTTTGTCCTTTGTCCCCAAAAGTCAGTCGATAACTGCCTACCTACCATTTTTCTCTTGGGAAAAGATTTTAGTCTTTTAAAAGTTTTAGCAGTATTGCCTAGTAACAAATCATTCACACAGATAATTGTGCAATATAGGATCATCTCTTTAAACAGGTCCTTTATGAAAGCCACATTGAATTTGTAAATAGAGGTTATTTATTTTATAAGTCTTGAATAGATTTTTAATTTGTATAATAGTAGGTATTTTTATATTCCATCAACCAGTCAGATCTTGAGTTCCTTATTTACCTATTTTATAATTAATTACTAGCAAGAAGATATCTGCTGGATATTAATTACCCTGGGAAAATACAGTGTCATATGTAGAAGGGCATTTTTTAGATTTTATTAACCATTATTTGACTTATTCTTGTCCAGGCCTGATTTCTTTCAGGTATTAACACCACTAAGTCTGTGATAACATATTTAGGTTATTTAAGTTATGTCTTACTTTTTAGAACCCCGGAGTAGTACCACTGTTGCCTTTAACTTAGTACAAGAGTAGTTTGATTTGGAAACACTGAGATAACCACCAAGAAAAATGAAATTGCACACTGTATACAATACAGGTGTATTGTTTGGGGTTCTTAAGCCATAAGCCATAGAAACTGACTCTGGCTTACAGGACAGCATTGAAAGGGTAGGGCTGAGACCTGAGAAACTCGAAAGATGCAGGTGGCAGGAACTGTGGATGGTTTCCTCAAGGAGCAGCTGTGGGAAGGATCTTGCTCAGGGAAGAGAGTCTGATTGGCCCAAATTACATCCTGTGCCCACCCCTTTGCCAGGAGAGGGCGGGGCCGCTTGGTTGACCCATGGACTGGAGATAGGGTGGTTCCCCAAGAGAAGAACAGAGTGCTGTTACTCAAAGTGAGGAGAATAGATGCAGGACAGGCCAACCCACAGCTGTCCACCAGAGTAAGTTTTATAGGAAAAGATACGTCCGCAGGTTTCCATGTGAATCAGAAAGTCAGTCATATTTATAGGCACTGCTGTGTGCAAAGCACTCTAAGGGCCTTAGGTATACTGTGGATTAAGACATGCTCCCTCTTATGATTTCTGAACTTGAAGAAGACCTACCTAGTCACATAAGTTAAATGTCATGTTAGACATCTAACCCCATATGGACACAGATTTTAATATCCCCAATCCAAGGTTATAGGTGAGTGCATGTCCACAGGCCCAGCAGACCCAGATTGAAACCACTTTGTGGAAATGAGATCTGTTGTCTAACACGCTCACTCTTTCGCCCTCTCTTCTTACTTATAGTGGAAATGTTATCATAGAGACAAAGTTTTTTGACGACGATCTTCTTGTAAGCACATCCAGAGTGAGACTTTTCTACGTTTGAGAGAAGAATATGTGTGCATTTCAAGAATTCATTTTTTTAGGGGGAAGGAGGAAACTGTTTACTTTTTTCCTCTATACATTTGATTTTTGACACTTCCACCCCTAATTCCCTCTACGGCAAAACCCACCTGCGGCCACCAGGGGACCAGCTCTGTGTAGGTAACCAGATGGCTTTTTTCTCTCAAGCCACCATCTTCAACTGACCAGATTAAACTCCCAATCCCAGACCAGGGCAGAGGGCATGCCTCAACTCCTTCTTGGAGTAGACATGGGGACAAACACATACCACAAGCTGTTCCCGTCACCCTCCCTGCCTCCTTCTTGGGCCCTGCAGGCAACATTATCTTCCTTTGGCCCCTGGTTTTGGAAAAATTCAAGTTCCTGAACCACGTTTAGTTTTTTCCTACCATTTCTATTTCATACATTCTCATACATTTAACTTGTAAAATAGACTGTGATATTATTGTTACATAGTGAATTAAAACATATGAATTAAAATATTCCTATGTCTTTAGCATGGCATTGCTTTCATCTCTCCTTTTTTTGGAATGTGAACCTGGCTCCATGATGGGAAGAAAGACATTTAACAGACCAGACCGTAGGATCACAGCTATATTTTACTCCAGAGATCAACTGATAGATCTTGTGGTTCCTGAGTGCTTCAGTTGCTGCTTTCCAAGAAGGTACAACATACCTGAACAAGACCCATGACCTTGACATTTGTCTTTTAGATGTGATATTTCGTGGTTCTCTTCCACAACATACATGCACCCTCTGCTTGTTTGTACTGTTTTTAACTTTTTCCCTTCTTTTATAATGTGCATTTGTTCAAGAAGTTTCCAGAAAGGTTAGCAGTTCTAAGTTGGTAGAGTAAGGACTCTTATTCCTAAATGAGAGACTAGAAGTTACAAAATGAAGAAAAGATCTCCCTAAACTCAACTGGAGAACAATGGGAAGGCATCCAGGATGGGGTGGGATGCTGAGAGGCCTTAAAACCGGTGGTCGGAGGAAGCCCGTGTGGCAGAGAAGTAGTTACATCTGCAGTGCTTCCAAGTCTGACGATAGAGAGAAAACTGAAAAGGGCTTTGTTTCAGGAACTTACCTCTGAGCTACCAGTAGCTCTCACTGTCCTTTATAAAATACCAGCAATTAAAAGTTTTCTGGTTCCTCCTGTAGTAAGGTCTGAGGCCAGAGGAGGGAAAATACACCGAGAGCTGGGGTCTCCTAGGTGTCGCCCCTGCTCCTAGATTGCTGCTCTCCTTCCATCTGTTACTGCAGGGGGCCTGCTTGCGTATGCGGGTGGCGGGGAGAAGACTGCGCTTGCAGTGTGCACGCATCGCCACCTTGCAGTGTGCACGCATCGCCACCTTGCAGTGTGCACGCATCGCCACCTTGCAGTGATGACTCCATTCTTCACGCTAGGTCTGTTACCTTCAGAAGCTAATTTTTAAATACCAAAGGTTGGATTAAAAAAAAAAAACAAGGTAAAAGTGAGTCAAACTTTTCTTTTGCTTTCCAGAACTGCCATGTCTTTTCTCAGAGCGAACCTGTCTCCTTCCCTTTTCCTGGACTATATCTTCTCCCCAGAGTCCCATCAGGGAAGGCTGTCAGGGGCCTGGACACATTCTGATGGAGAAAGGACTTCCCAGGGAAGGCTTCTCCACCCGGTTAGACCTCCTTCACTGCCCTTCTGCACTCACTCACCCAGCCAACAGTCAGGGACACACTTCTTTGCTAGCCGCTCTGAGAAAAACAAAAAGAATCGTAGTCCAGTCGTTCTTAGAAGCTTGCCATCTCTCCAGGTACGTGTGCTCAGGCAAAATTGCTCATTTTATCATGAAACAAGCAAGACAAAAGAAGCGTGTGCTTCAGGCACAATACTGATCAAGGGGTTCCAAGCGCGGGTGGGATTTGAGCTGATGGGGAGGATGGCTGAATGCTATGGTGGGAGGAGAAGGGAAGTGGGAAGAGGCCAGGGAAGAAGTCAGGCAAAAGGAGAGGGAGGACACGGGAGCTGCAGGGACCAGGGCCCTAGGTAGGTTAAGGTCAGCCCTTGTAGGGTGGGTGCTGGTCCAAATGCCTGAAAATCTGGAGGGTTTGTGCATATATTAAAGGCCACAAAATGTTATTGGAAGGAGAAGCATACAGATCAGGCCTGGCACAGTGTACAGCCACTTGTTCTCAAACATCTGTGGCACCTGCCCACACCCAGAGATCCCGACTCAGTATGTGTGGGTCCCAGAAATCTGCCTATGGAAGCACCCCAAGTGATTCTGCTACAGGTGTTCTGTGGACCGTATTTTGAAATACCGGTAGAGGCATTTAGTGAATATTAGAGACATACCTGTGTACACTGGTGGCCGTAAGATAAACTGAGATCTCCAAGCATGCTTAAGGAACAAAGGGTGGTCCCAGTTCTGCCCTGTGCCAGTGAGGGGAAGCTTTCAGTTGCTCAGGGCAATCAAGAGGAACTTTAGAGTCTTCAGAGGAGAGGACAGAAGAATCCCAGGCAGCATGGCCTTTGAGAAAGACTTGGGAGAACTTAGAGGATCTGTCAAACATAGATTTCTATTTAGAGAGTTTTGCTTAAGGTTTCCTGTGTGATGTGAGTAAACAGTCTCGTCCATCTTCCCATCTGTGTTACTGGGCAGTGTGCTGAGTGACTTCTGTGATGGAGCACTTGGGGAAGCACTGAGTCTGGCCCTGGTTGGGCATGAGGGGGTGGAGGAATCACAGTCTACGGAAGAGGATCTAGCCACATTCAGGCCACACTTACAGGCCTGTTATGTGTATCAGTAAGATGTCGTGTGAGGCACAGGCATGCCTTTCCTGAGCTTTGTCCCTAGTTGAGCAATTATAAGTGCCTGCCGTAAGAGAAGGACAAGGTGGGCATTTAAAGGAAGAAGAAATTACATGCAGTTCAGAAAAATCAGGAAAGCCCTCTCTTCTCTGGATCTTTTAACTCTCAGCCTACAAAATATGTTCAAGTTGCCCTAAAAAAAATAAGCTTTTATAAATAAGGCTTTCCTTCAATCCTGCATGGCCTTCAGCTCCCGCTCCCTCCTTTTCTTTCTCTACAGATTCAAACCTCTCGGAATTGTCTCCACTCACTCTTTGCACCCCCTACCTCTCATTGACTCCTCAACCCACGGCTTTCTGGCTCTGGCCTGTGGCTTCCTCTCCTTCGAGGCATCAGTGAACTCCACTGAGCCACTGCCCCCGTCCAGTCCTTCTTGCTTTATCTGCTGGGACTCTGGGAGCCCCTTTGCTGAGTGTCTGCTCCTTGCCCCTTTGCAGGCTCTTCCATTTTCTTCCAGCTGCCTTGTCCCTAAAATGTTTGTTGGTGGATTTGGGATTTTTTTTTTTTTTTAGCTATTATGTATTGAGAAAATGCTTGTGCAAATTCTTCTCTTTTTTTTGGCCGCACCTCGCAGCATGCAGGATCTTAGTTCCCCAACCAGGGATCAAAGCCATGCCCCCTACAATGGTAGCTCGGAGTCCCAACCACTGGACCACCAGGGAATTCCCACTTGTACAAATTCCTTAAGCATTATACATTCACTGCATGCATATTTATTGAGCACTTTTTATGTACCAGACACTTGTTGGACAAGATGAGTGAAGTCCCTACCATTAGATTCTAATGAGAGGAGACAGAAAGCAGATAATTTCAGATAGTAATTAGTGCTCTGAAGGAAACAGGACAGTGCAAGGGCAGCATGTCTGAAATGAGGAGGTGAAGAAACGGAAAGAAGTCAGCATTCAGCTTTTGACCCCAAAACAGGATTGACGAGTCCCCAGCAAGTCAGCAGTCTGGAAAGCCAGGATTTACTCAAAGGAAAAGATTTTTTAAATCCCTTAATCTATCATCAACAAAGTAAGAACCAGATGTGCCACACTTGATACTACAAAGGACTCAGGGTATGACAGGGAAGGCCCTGCCTTATGGGAGGAGTGACAGCCTCCCCTTCCACCCTGAAAAGGATGGAGGGGAGGAAGCAGGGCAAAGAGGCCCGGTGCTGATGTCCTCGCTTTCCCCCACCCCTCAGGCCTGGATGGAAAGGCTGGATAGAAACATCTGCCCAGGTGTGGGGGAAAGATGAGAACTTCCTAGAGGTTAGTGGGGAGGGTCGGCTGCCCAGCCATCCAGTAGACGGAGGCCTATTCACTTGCTTCATAACCATCTCCCCTATAGTGTCCTCCATCCCTACCACCCCGGCCGCAGTTCCTATATCCATCTGGGGCCAGTCTAGCTGATGGCATGGCCTCCCCTTGTGACTTATCCTTCACATCACAACCAGAAAGCCCCAGGATGTGCATCTGCTCACCAATTCCTGGGTATTGTCGAGTTTATTTTTAGAATTTCTTGCTAGTGACCTGGTAATTGTTTTACAGCATTCAAAATGCACTGTTTAAATGGTCCTCAAAGTAAAAACATTAAATGGCTTAGCAGTTCTTTTTGGTGCTTTTATTTGGTCTGAAACTGAGCAGCTTCAACTATAGCTTTGAATAAACTGAGGGATGCAATACAGTGGACTGAGAAGCAGAAATCTGGTAAATATATTTGGTTCCCAAACCATGCACCGAGGCACCCCAGGGCACTTCAGCAAGTTCACAGGGGTGCCATAGGATCTTTTAGTTTTTTAAGGAAATGCAGTGATATGGGACATCTGTCATACAGTGCTCAAAATCAACATGAACAGGAAATGAGGGGAATGGTGTCCAATCTGATTCCAGGTTTGAGAAGCTGTGCAGTGCTCAACAGGCACACACACTCCATTAGTAAGTCACTGTGATGATAAATGAAATAAAAATATTTTTTTCTCTAAATCTATGTGGCTTTTCTTTTTCCAAAATAATACAACAGCTACTAAGTTAGGACATAGATACTTAATAAGTTGTTTGGACCTAACTACTTAAGTAGAATTGTTAGTTATTTGTTTTGACCTAGTTGCACCGTGAAAAAAATTGCTGAGACACAAAGATTACTGTAAACAGAGAGCATTTGGGGATCTCTGATAAAGCCCTTAGTTTAAAATTATGCCTTTCAGAGGGTTAGAAACACGCATGCAGGGACTTCCCTGGTTTCCCAGTGGTTTTCTGTGCTCCCAACCTCGGGGGCCTGGGTTCAATCCCTGGTCAGGGAACTAGATCCCGCATGTGGCAAAAGATCACGCATGCTGCAACTAAGACCCAGCACATCCAAATAAATAAATAAATAAATAAATTTTTAAAAAAGAAAAGAAACCACACTCACACAAACATCACTGGCAGCAGTAGCATCAAATGCATATTGACCACCCAGCTCTGAACTCTGAGACAGCCTTTGGTTCCATGGAATGCTTTTTTTTTTTTTTTAATTTTATTTATTTATTTTGGCTACCCTGTGTGGCCTGCGGGATCTTAGTTCCCAACCAGGGATTGAACCCAGGCCCCCTGCATTGGGAGCGCAGAGTCTTAACCACTGGACCACCAGGGAAGTCCCCCATGGAATGTTTCTATTTTTTTTTAATTTATTTATT